GCTCCCCCGGATAAGCCATCCTCTAGATTTCCTTGTTTTGAATTCGTTTTATTCTGATATTTTAGCTTAAGGGGGGATTCTACCTGAAATTGGCTCAAAAAAGCGTGTTTTTGTTTTCTTTGGAATGGCGAGGTTCAACTATTCGACTTTACATTGGCGATCGTTTTTAACGAATAATTTCAAAATATAAGCGAGAGATAACGTTTGAGCATGGTAACGGAAACTGGCATTTGTTGTTTTTTTACTTGTTTACAAGCCCGTTTGGACGGGAAAATGCCTCAAACAAGCCCGAAATCTATCTGGGAGTCTTTGTGCTTCCTTACATGAAGTACAAACAAGAAATTGAAAGAGTAACACTGGAAACGAGTGAGAAACTGGATAGGGCGACGTGTGAAAGTTTTCATGTTGTCAGTGTATTTCGAAATATTGAACGGCTTTTTGCTCTGAAATGACTGGAAAGAAGAAAAGAAGTGTCTACAGGAAAACCAGGAAAGGAAAGGGGCATGGTGGAGATCGTAGAAAAGTGCAATCATTGGAGAAAAGCCGTTGCAATAACGAGAGAGAACCGAATGAACTTACTCCGGGAACTTCGCACGATTAGTCTGATCTGTCAGATTCTTCTGATCTGTCAGATTCTGGCGAAGAAAGCGTTTACCCTGACCCGCCTAGTACATCAAGGAAGAAGATGAGACTTCAGAGCTCAGAAGATGAGTCTTCTTTAAGTTCTGAAGAAAAAGGAGAAGTTTTACAGTTAGAAAACGGATATAGGCTCGTTGATCTAAAGAGCTTCTCTTCTGTGCTCTCAACTCTACACAACTGCGACGAAGGTGAGAAAAATATTACACATACTTATAGTTTTATTTTTAAATATGCTTTCCTTTCCCCAAAACGTAGAGAAAAACGATAGCTAGTATTATTTGGGGAAAGGAAGTTTTAGTATTGTTTAATCATTTTTCTCTGATCTTTCTTCACTGTGACTCTTGAGTCTTGTACATATAAAGGTGTGAAGTCAACATTGTGTTTTTGTTTGGCTCAGTATAACCATAGTGAACAGCGTATTTTTCCCTTATGTTTTTAATTCAGGAGACCTAACTATTGAGGAAAATACTGTTAGCCGTGCTGGATTGATAGTAAACTTTTAGAAAGATGTGTACGAAGAAAAACCCAGAACCCAAATGAAAGCATCATTGCAATGGTTTGGGTCCGTTGTCCTAAACATAAACACCATGGGGTGAAAGTTGTACGCTGTGCTGCTGCATCTGCAGTCTGCCACTTCCACAGAGGGGTAGAGAGCAGAAAAAGGTTGATGGAACGACTTTATATTCCTGGAGGTGGATTTACTGGGAAGGCATTTCGACTAAGAGATAAGTCACGACTTCGGAAACCTGATAACCAGGCAAGGGCCAAGGAGAAGAAGCGTCGGCAAGGTTTACAGCTTCTCCGTATCCAAAGAGAAGAGGCCCTTCGTGAGAAAGAGGGTATGACATATGAATCTGGGGCATTCTAGTTCTTGTCCTTAGCTTCTGTCAGTGAAATGTGAAGTCATGGCTACTCACAGACGTCATAATTTGAATACAGCTGTTGTTTAATCTAATTTTGTAATTTTAGGCCTTTTTTTCTCAAAACGTATTTTATAATATTCGGGAAAAGATTACTCAAGAAGTATTAGAGCTATGGACCTGAAATTTTCAGAGATCTTAGTTCTGATTGAGTTACTTGGGATGATTGAAGGAAATTGCCATAGAGGCCTTTCTAAAGAAATTATCAAACAAATAGTGATCATGTTTTGAACATGTAACTTGACACCTGTGTTGTGATGTCAAATTCAAAACTTTCTTAAAACCCTTCACACATCCCAAGAAGCATTCAGTATGCTTTAGAATGACAGCGAAATATTGTTATTTCATTGAAACAGTTTATAAAAATCTTTACTCAAGTACGTATGGGTAACACACTTCAAGGTGTTAATTGAAATGACTGGTGTCAGGTTGCATTTGCTACTGGTGAGACATGACACCTGTTTTTGAAAACTAAAGCTCATAAGCTTTCCAGTCACATGTAGTTTTGGCTAGTTTTGAATAAAACTTACATTGCTACAATTCTTTGAAAAAATGCACTATTTTTAGGTAGAATCTCCCCTTAAAAACCAGTAAATGAAAAACCTATTTCAATCAACATGTGTAGCCATAGCTCGTTTNTAAGCTCCCCCGGATAAGCCATCCTCTAGATTTCCTTGTTTTGAATTCGTTTTATTCTGATATTTTAGCTTAAAAACCAGTAAATGAAAAACCTATTTCAATCAACATGTGTAGCCATAGCTCGTTTCGAAATGGCTTTTTTATTCCGGTTATAAGCCCCCTTGGATATAAGATAACTATAACAACTTTGTTTTCTAAACTGAACAACAGTGTGTAACTATTCTTTACGATAACTAGAATTCCTGATTTCTTGAATCAATATTGTCATTAAGTCAGCTTGAAGGTTCAAAAATTGCTGGATTTCACAATAACTTTGCAAGTTACATTGGAATCAGCACCTGCATAAACTGTTATCAGTTTGCTGTTAGTCTTAAATTGTTAAAGCAATTGTGCAAGCGAAGTGCAGGGAGCCTTGTTCAAAAATATCACACTGATTTGATCCAGCCAGCCCAACATGAATTCATGGGCTCAACTGATCGAAAGTTGACTTGAAACATTGTAACACTGATTCATATCTGTCCGAGAATCTTCTTTTAAGAAAGGCTTTTGCTGTCGAAGACAATGGAAAGGTCTTCGAGTCATATGACCGTTTTGCTGGAGTGAGCTAGCCCTGTAAGGTTCCTCTCCCAAAAGACAACAGAGCTGGCAACACTGAACAACAGGAACAAAAATAACAACCATTTTACAATTAGGGGAAAAGACATCTCATTCTCAGACCCCCGCATTTTCCCTTTGCCGGCAGGGCCCCGGAGGATACTCCCTATAATGGCCTATACGGGGAGGCTCCGCCCCAAGGGGTACCTTTTTCAGGCTTCAGATATATAAAAGGGTAGGGATTTCACAAGTTGAGGTATATAAAAGGGTAG